AAAGATAAAATATACTTAAAGTTATAAAAGAAATAGTTAAAAATATTGCACTGTCAAATGAAAATAAAAATAATGGCAGCTATCAACAATTATTACAACAGAATTACGTAGCTAGAACTAAAAAGAGTAACAACGATACTGAAAATAACAATACAAATTGTCTTTTCAACAATCAGTGACAGAGTAAAACAATAAGAAAAACATAACAGCCATACATTTAAATGCTTTCACAATTCAAGGCCAAAGCAAAATGCTTGCATACAAACATTATACCAACGACCATCGAGAATGGCTAGAAAACAGTTCGCATTTAACTAAACGACGCACTTAACTTATAGCAATTTTTGTGAAAATAACGCAAACACTCGATACGATGGTTTGCCGGCTTCTAGTGATGTACCTTAAACGGTATCGATTAAATTGATTAACTTTCCAACGAATCAAGTGAAAAATGTTGCTATTTATCCTACTGTGTATCGTAAAGCAGTTAATAGTTTTGTTATGCCAGTATTTGTGTCTAGTACTATGACAGTTTTATAGTCGTTTTATAGTCTATGGTTCTGTCATTTATATTCTGTTATTCATATTAGAATTTATTGATTGCTTGTAAGATTTAGGAGCCAGCGACAAATTCTTGTTTATATTTTTTCTACCGTAGATAAATTTAATACACTAATTTATGAATATATTATACTGCCTATGGTTTTGATACTATATATAACATTAGTATTCATAGAAAAGTTGGAACAATACTTTTGTACTTCACTCACACTGTGGAGAAAATTCGTTACAAAACAAAGAATATAAGTAGTGTAGAATTACACATGTCATGCTATTATATGTAGGCTATATTCTACTACTGACCACAAACTCACAAAAGCGTGGTGAATACTTTCTTACGAGTGCTCCACTTCCACGATACGGTTTACTATTTGAATTAATATATTTGTCGTAATTAGCTGGTTTTGTGAGCGTGCATTCTGTTTATCTATTAGAAAAAGAAAAAGCAATTTCTTTTCCCTGCTCTGTGGTTTCAGTACCAAAATAAATGTTCGTACGTGACTACGTGTGTCATGGTTATTATATTTTAATACGAAGCTATTACTTTTATTGATATAAATGTTACAAAAATGTTGAATCACTTACACAAAAGTAAATAATAAAATTATGAAATTCGACTGGATGATTGATTTATTTATCTTTTAATTTAATTATCGTATGAAACTATTTATCAAATGTTATACATGTTTATGTTATCTGTGGCAAGCTGGCCACTTTTAATAGGGAAACCTATTTATGTTCTTCTTTTGTTTTGAAAAATATATGAAATATATGAGTGTGTTTCTGACTTTTTTTTAAGGGGGGAAAATCATCGAATGACTGCTCCCGCCTGGGTGAGGCGGGAGGGAGTGTTAGACTCTTACTGACTAAAAACCATCCCGTTCCTTCTCCTGCACGTCGAGCCGGAGCCCCGGTTGCCCTTTAGGTTCTCCACGACGTGTGTTGCTGACTAGCTTGTTTAATTCACACGATAAATAGTTATTGCGTTATACATTGAAAATATATAAGATCAAACAAAACATATTAAGGTACTGCAAATGAATTTTTCCTTTCATAACTTAATTAGTTTACTAATAATATTAAACACGAGTTTTATTACAATGTAACAGAAACTCCCTACTAAGCTGAGAATCTTCAAGATACTACTTAAATCAGAATTTCCTTGAACCAATAATACCGCTATTTTATTTCAGAACAAATATTCTGAGAATCGAATATGAATTTAATATTTTCAGTTCGTATACTAAATTCAAAGAATATATCTGAACTTGCTTGTACTACCAACATCAATTTCTTTTCCTCAGAGAATTTTCTCAGAAGCAAATATCCCGGTAATAGGTATGTATTTCCGTGGTTTCAGTGGAAATCAATAGTTGTTAAATTGCCTCAGATCTAGGCTACAGGAATCTACCAAAGATATTCTTGCCTAGAATATTATTATACAATGATGTTTTTCTCCATTATATCCAAATCTTGCCGAATTGTATAAAAAAAGTTATCGACACACACGACACGACAACATCTCTATTTATTAGAGAGTATGTTATTGGTTGGACTGCCTCGTTGGCCGAGTGGTCGCAAGTGCGGTCCCGGGTTCGATTCCCGGGTCGGGCAAAGTATTACTGGGTTTTTAAAAAAAATCTCAGTAGTAGCACGGAGTCTGGAAATGTGCCAGGTATATGGCAATAGGCTCACCTCCTATTGCATGGGGCTCATAACATAAATAGTGAAAATTGGGTGTTACATTGTACAGTGGCATAATGTGCACCTCTGCCTACCCCTTCGGGGATAAAAGGCGTGATATTATGTTATGTTATTGGTTATCTAATCGGGAAAATTTAGGAAATCCGAAATATCCTCAGGTCTTACACGTGTACATACCCATCGGCGAGTGAAAGATATTAAAATAGAAGCGTATCATTACACAGACACCCACATATAAATCGAGCTTATATCTAGTTCAAAATTCAATACAAAGAAGTATGAAATACGTGAAATTTTGTTCACATAACGGATACACATAATTTTTCTCAATAAGGAGATCACCGATCCGTTGTTACGGTACGATAAAATACAACACGAATCTTGCATGGTCTGTTTATTAACGTCTAATCATCTCTGTAGTCTTTATTATTTATTAATAATATGTTACATTCGTATTGATTGCCCCGTTGGTTAAATGATTTATTTTGCCTATCGACTATTTAAAGAATCTAAGAAGATTTGGGCTGCTATGGAGCGGGTCTATTGCTTTACTTGTCAAACTAAAACTGTATCTAATTCTAGACTGAACATCGTATCTCATTTACTCTGGATAAAACATTTAACTTGCAATTGGGATGATGAGAGGGTATACATATTAAAAATCTAATTAATCCGTAAGTTAGGTAATGAAAAAATATTTATTTTGTTGTATAATAAAATAAAACTTAGATAAAAATAAGCAAAGTTTAGGAGTGGGGGTTAAAACGTCATTTCTACGTATAAAATGTACATAGAAGTGACGTCACGCGCCATTTCAAATCAATATATCATCGAAAGTATTCGTTTCTGTAAGAAAATAAAAAATACGTGTCTAATGATTTAAAATAATCTACCAACCGGACATTAAAATAAAAATTAGGCATCTACCCTATTGTCATAACCAAAACTGACAAAACTAACAAATATACACCTGTGAATTGGAGTCAAAAAACTCATGCTCAAAACATTCCGACACATTCAGATTGATGTCGAGAAATCGCAATGCAAATTCATATAGCATTAATAAAAGCCGATGAGATACCGTTAATCACTAAATGCTAGCTGTATACCACTGTCCAAGCGAAATGGGTCAAGTTAAACAACAGATTTGATTTAACTGAAATACTGGCATAGACAAACATAGCAACACGCGAACCACAGTGTTCCAAATTCAATTTGTGCAGCGCTGCCAAAGAATGGAGTTCGGTTCGATAGATAACGTTTACATTTTTATCGATAAATTGAGATGTGGTCGCGACAGCCCTATTCGATGGTGGAGTTACATTTTACGAATGAGATTTCATGTTGTGTCAATATCTGATTTTGTTACCTTTATTTTTGTAAGTAGTTTGTTAAATTGAGATCATTCAAAGTGTGTTCATCTCTTTAATATTATAATAATTATGTGCTTGATAACAATTATAGTTTAAGATAATTTCTATACTACAAATAATAGTTTTATAATATTGACCATAGCTTCAAGAATATCACAACACAATAACACGAGTGGATGTCTCCAACACCTGGCGATCACAAACGACAGATCGAGTTATTCGATATAGATAATTTTATTACTTTTGTCTATCCTTGAGATAGGACTTTTATTTATTGAAGAATATTTATAACATATCCATGCAAAAACTACTTGACATGTTGCAAAAATGAGACAAGTTTTTGAAAGATAGGAATTGGTTATTTTAAGATGATTTTTCTTTTTAATCGACTTCAAAAAAGGAGGAGGACCCATAACAAAATATAAAGTATTTAATAATCACAGCTGGTATAATCCATAATAAAATTGCAAACAGCTTAAAGGGTTTAATGAATAATTTTGTTTAAATCTTGTGGCACCGACTTCGAACCTATCAGTCGGTGTGTAAGCTATAAGTGTCTACGTATGACCACTAATAGTTATTTTGTTTCCTTTTTAGTTTTTACTTTTCGTTTGTCTTTATTTTTTGAAGTCGGTTTTTTTAAACGCAGTTTTTTTTAATTTTATTAAGTGAACAATGACTGCTATTATTTATTTGCTAACCAGAAAATAAAAAGAAACAGTGTCCATATTTGTAGTGGGAGGTACACACCCGCCCCAACAATGAGACATTAGCATTAACAATTAGATAGTATTATGTTATTCATAAGTATTTAATAAACAATACACCTTTCTACTTTCCTATTGGCTGAATTAATTTGGTGATTGTACGTGATAGGATTATATTTGTCGTGCTTTGATTTTTATTGGTTAGATTAAATGTTGGTGTTGTTTAACTCGTCGAGTACCGGTTTTATAGACACAATTAAAGAACAATAGGTCGCGGTCACCGGTGACCGCTTGGTGTTTGACAGTTTAACCAATAAAAGAACTGTTAATAGTCATAAATTATTAAGGTGCATATTAAGGTGTGATGTGATTTTTTATTAACGTTGCCAGGATTTTCTCCTGTGTCGTGGGTGCGTTTATATACATACAAGTTCACATACACATGACACCCAGACCCGAAACATCAATTTGTGGATCACTCAAAGAGTTGATCCTTGTGGAATTGATCCCGCTATACGTTGCCGAGCTAGCACCAACCGAGCAGTAAATGTAGCAGTTAATTGCTCAATAGTAATATATAGTTCCAAAATCTACCTAGTTCTTTCTTGATTGTTATTTTAATTAAATATTCTGTCATTGAGAATTGTAATCTTACCATGTGTAATATAAGCAGAACGCCTATAGCTAATCCGCGTCGACACCGCATTTTTATCTGTGAACAACAAAATTACGATTATTAGGACTACTTACTTAAAAAAAACTATGTCATATAAAACAAACATTCATATTTATAAACAATACTGTTTAATGTTTTTAAAAAAAATCTCAGTAGTAGCACGGAGTCTGGAATTGTGCCCGGTATATGGCAATAGGCTCACCCTCTATTACATGTGACTCAAACCATAAAAAGTGAAAAGTGAATAGTAGTGTTACATAGTACAGTGGCATTAAGTGCCGTAATGTGCACCTCTAGCTACCCCTCCGGGGATAAAAGACGTGATGTTATGTTATTGTTTAATATTAGGATTGGAAAAAATAATGAATCAAGGTAAGAATCTGCTTTAGTTGTTTAATAGGTATATTATTGTTTGGGTCTTGCGACGTAAGACTCTTGAGATGAACAATGTCACAAATGAACACTTCTTTTAGAAAATACAAAAGAAAATTTTGGGTAAAATACTATAATACACCTTTGAAAACAATAACTTATCCATAGGTTATTACAGAGTAGATCATTATCTACTATTTGAAGAAAATTCACTACTTATAAGTAAACTATGTATAGAAAATTTCCTTTTATATATTATTCTACCTACATAATCTCAAAGCGTTTCAAAATGTATGAGTTTTATATTCTTGTTTATACGAACTTTTATGTCCATTAGCACTTGACTGGAAAGTGCATTGTTGTGTTTAAAGAAGGCTAGTCGTGAACGCTTGGAGTTTGAGCTTAGGATATAATTTGGTGGAGACCTACATAATATAGGTATAAACAACTAAATAGTTAAGGTGCGTCCATATCTGACGAATGCGCAGCTCGCGAGTTGTGCATTCGCGGCTGATTCACCAGATGTGGACGCACCCTAATAATATCGTTTAGGAATTTTAGAAGAGGATTTTAAAAATGTTTGTTTCTAATTATTATTTATGTTACACGAGAAAATGATTCATATTAAAAACGCCTTATCTTACAACCTTTTATGGATTACTCTTTATTAATCGCCATAAAACATAATATCGATTAATTTATAACAGAACAACTCCAGTACACAACAAAACTTGTCTATGTACTAAAATAATGAAAGTTCCACAAAAATAATATAGCATCACAACAGAATTGCCTATTTCATCTTTCTTAAGATTTTCATTTAACATTCAAATTGTATGAGAAGACGAGTATATCTCACACATTGCCATTCAAATGACAGTGGATTATGTTAATACCTACGAAAAAACACGTGGGACTGAGATACCTACATTTTAGACGCTTCCAAACAATGTAAGGCTATAAACATTAAGGTCGTAATACGCAAACCTTTCTATTGTTTCGTCCATTAAAAATAAGCCCAAATTAAGCCATTAAAATGAAGTATAATAATAATTGTTGCTTTTAAAACAATAAGTACACTAGGCTTAGACGCTTTAATGGGTTTACACTTCTTTCATATTTGATGTACCTATTACTTATTTCTTCAAAAACCTCCTTAACCTAAACTATTCTATTCTACACTACCTAAATTTATTCTAAACTAGATGTTGCCCGCCACTTCGTCCGCGTAGAATATGATTCCTGTTTTATCATTCATTAGCTTTTACACAACAGACAGTTTAATCGGGATAAAAAGTATCCTATCACCTAAGTCAGCCCATACCTTGTCTGTATACCAAATTTCATCAAAATCCGTTCAGTAGTTTCAGCGTAATTGACGTAAAAACATCCAATGAAACTTTTACATTTATAATATTAGTATGATTGAACCAATTTTAATCAACATCTTATACGATTTTTACAATATTTGACCATTTTCTCGGTATAGAACTTTATTATTGATCAACAACAAAACGACAATACTTACTCCCATGAGAGACAAGACAAACAAGGGATAAACATAAAATCCTTACTATATAATATTATAAATCGGAAAGTGAGTTTGTTTGTTTGTTTGTTCCGCTTCCACGCCGTAACTACTAAACCGATTGTTTTGAATTTTTACAGACGTAAAGTTAGAAGTCTGGTACTGTTTATCCCGGAAAAATTTGATATTCCCGAGGGAAAAGAAAAGTATTGGTATAGATGGCGCTGTGTGTATAGTCACATAGGCTACTGTTTATCCTTTTGTGACGCGAGCGAAGCCGCGGGTAAAAGCTAGTTAAATTATACAACAACGAGATATTTACGATGACAAGACGAGATTACAAGCTAACAATCATATAGTTATCTTGAATGAACCTCATTAGTACTATCACAGGTAGACTGGCAGACACCCATCATCACCAGATTCTCATAATAGAGCTACTTTGTCAGCATGTTACAGTTTCCATAAATGTAGGACGGAATCCGGTGCCGTATTGTGCTTTTGTTTCCACGATAGTATTTTTCTTTAACGGTAAAAGGTATAAAACTTTTTGATTACCTACAATTGTGAATTTGCTATGAGTATGTTGGGTTTTTTGATGTGAGAACGTAATATCAGATACCGACGCAGATAATAATATGTATATGCACGTATGTAAAAATATGTATGGACATCTTTTACTTAATCATGGAGATAATACTCTGCCTCTATCACATTTATTAATAGTAAACCCATCATCAATAGCCCATGACTATCTTCTGGATCTTCTTCTACACAAAAGTCCTGAGTTGAAGATCATAATTTAAAAAGGTTCAGGATTTTTGGAAATGGGTATCTGCAGAATTCAAGCTCGAAATTCTTAAGAATATAAATTCTTACTACTTAATAAACATAATCCCTTATTTATGTATTTTGTACTCATCAAAATTAGTGGCTAGGCTGACCTGCATTGTATATTTATTTGACCAATAGGAGAACAGTGATATCAAAATTTAAATGCACGCCATCTATCTTGCTCCCTCGTTGTTCCTCGTTATTAAATATCAATAATAAAGTAGTGATAAATAATCTATATCACTCTTCAGCCATTAACTGTCGCCAGACACACAGATCATCCCATAAAATCTCACCATGGCGACCACGACGTGAAAAAATTATACATGTCGCATTTATAATAAAGATAGCAATGATAGTAGAAGTAGAAGTAAGCTAATAAATAAATAAAGATATTTGATAAGTTGTGGTTGAATTGAACTGAAAAAAAAACATACTTAGCAAAAAGTATCCAAAAGAACCAATCTACATTTAAATAGGTAAATGGAAAAAGTTTTAAGAGCAATTCGGTAAAATTCTAAACATGTTATGGACTTTTGGGAAGAACATTTAAGGCTTGAAATGCCGTAACAAGTGAATTACGTTTCATAATGAAGTTTGAGGAGAAACAAAAGATACATAGACTTAATGTAATGGCCTATTTTGGTTATTTAAATTAATTGAAAGGAAATACTTCTTGTGGGGGCTTTTTGGTAATGTTATAATTTCTATAGACATATTACATAGTAACGAACGACTTTATAAGAGAGGTTTTGGTTGGAAAGAAAGAAATTAGTTAAGTGGGTTATGTTATAAATTAAATATAAAATCAAGAGAACGCAAAATGGTAGCGGAAGTATTATTTATATCACAAATTATTATGAGACTGCCACGTTGGCCGAGTGGTCGCAAGTGAGACTGCCGGACAAGGGGTTACGGGTTCGATTCCTGGGCAGGGCAAAGTATAACTCCGTTTTTAAAAAAACCTCAGTAGTAGCACGGAGTCTGTAAATGTGCCCGGTATATGGCAATAGGCTCACCCCCTATTACATGGGACTCATAACATAAATAGTGAAAAGTGGGTGTTACATTGTACCTCTACAGTGGCATTAGGTGCCGTAATGTGTACCTTTGCCTATCCTCAGGGATAAAAGGCGTGATGTTATGTATATACTTATGTTTTATTATAAGATTTTCATTTATATCAATACATCCTTGAAGCGAATCATGTCTTTTCACATCTTAATGGCTAAAATCAGAAGTAAAATTCACTATGCATAAGTGTCACTTAGGTACATTACATTTATTTAAGAAAATAAAATGAGAACTTTCTAGTATTTTATGGTCGTAAAAATATTTTCGCCAGTTATAAGTGACGTAAGTGGAAATTTAGTATATTTTGCAGAATTTAATAGAAATGTAGGTACACTATATATATACGTACCTACAGTCCGGTAGCAATAACTAACTGTTGACTTTTTTTAAAATTCTTTCCGTAGCTGTTTTAATATAATAAGTCCATATACCTACATGGCTTTCATTTCATAAGCAAAAGTAATTGAAGTCGAAATTAAGAATATATTTTTATTTTTGTTTTAGTAGTTCTAGAATAACGATTGAAATTTGGAACTAATGATTTAAATCAAAAGTGATAAAAACCTTCTTAATTTTTTTAGATGATAATGAAGAGCAACTTTATTTTGTAAGGTGCAAAGTCTATTTTCGCAAATCACTTACGCGGTTGCTCTAGTTGAAAATGGTAAAGACGATAATTAGGAAAAAACAATTATTCGTGGTCGTGGTAGATCACGAATTAAATGGCCGGATGAAATTGATGGGTTTACTACAAAACGGGAAAAATAAGGCTTGAAAAGGTCACGAACAGAAAACAACACTAACACAAGATTTTGAGTAAACACTTTAAAACTATAAGTACTATCAAATACATCATTATTTAGAGCCTATGATAATCATTATCTACTTAAGATATTGCTCAACAAGCTCCTGTTTCAACCTAAATCTTCAGACAAAAAAATGAAAGTAATTTTTATACAAAAGAAAGTAACAGCACATTACACAAACATCTATTATACTTAAAAGACACTTCAATAAATAAAACTACGCAATAAAATAAAGAAATGAGATCACCTCACATAACATCAAAAGTCCATCAATAAATACACTTCAAATGATGTATTTACATTTTGTAATGACGTCTGCGACTATGTTCATAAATCAAAACGAAATGGATCCTTATCTAGACAACGATCTATACTTTCGATTGCCGACGAAACATGTACATATTTAAATAAGCGAAGAATCT